TCTTCATCCACCCCGAGGCAGAGCTCCATACATTCCAGTTGCTCTCTCACATAAAGGGCAACTCCACCCCCTCGCCTTCCTGGCCTGTCTTGCCTAAAAAGCACCTATCCATCCAGGACAGCCTTCCAGTCATGTGAACTATCCCACCATGTCTCTGTAACCGCAATGAGATCAAGGCCCTGCGACTGCACACAGATCTCTTCCTGTTTATTCCCCCATTGGTGTACAGGCACTTCAGACAGGTATTTGAGCATGCAGGTTTCACAGGGGAGGTGCAAGAGGATACCCCATAGTCATATCTTGTAGGCATTCCTTGGCTGCATGCACCTGCTGGAGGTATCCCCACTTGAGCCCTGTTTTCTGGGTGGTCTCTATAACTCTCCCCTTCCCCCATATTTCCTTGTTTAAAGCCCTCCTGGCCAACCTGTAGGCGAGTGCCTCATTTAGTGAGGTGCATCCCATCTCTCCCCATCAGTTATCTATCTTCAAACAGGGTCCCATGGTCATAGAAACCAAAACCCTGTTGCCAACACCAGCAGCGCAGCCAGTTGTTTACTTGGAGAATCCATCAACTTGCCCTCTCGTCCTTCACCCTAACTGGTAGGATTGAGGAGAAATTGACCTGGGCTCCCAGACCCTTGACCACCATCCTCTGAGTTCTGAAATCTTGTTTGATGGTTTCCAATTTGCCCTTGGTATTACTGGCGGCCACATGGAAGAGGAGCAGGGGGTAATAGTCGGATGTGTGGACAAGCCTTGGCAGTCTTTCCATGACAGCTCTGATTTGAGCCCCTGGCAGGCAACAAACCTCTCTAGACAAGAGATCAGGTCCACAGGGGCCTTTGTCCCCTGCAGCAAGGAGTAACCCACTAGAATCACTTCTTCTGGGTTTTCCTGTATGGCAGGTCTATTGGGCTTTACTTTTTCATTTTTAATACTTTTCATATTATTATTAAATAATAATAATAGTAATACTTATTGCAAATAATAAAACCATAAACAGTAATTTAATAATAATCGTCATTATTTATTAATTTAAAAAATTTAATAAAGTTACTCTTCTTCTGCAGCTTGGATTGTTCTCAGTCCTTTTTCTTTATCCTTCCTGTCAGAGTAAAGCTTTGTTATTGTCCTACACAGAACTAATTTCTTCTCATTTTATTGCATGCCTTAGTTAAATTTTTCAGTTTATAATAATTAAATACTGAATGTCTGTGGCATTTTGCCACATTTGTAGTATGTGCATTGAGCTAATTTTTTCAAGAAATTTGCTAAATCCTCCAAAGAACTGTTTCTTAATTCCTTTGTTAAATTCTTAATTGACAACTTTTTCTTCCTAAAGAATTACTAATACTTATAAGATGTCAATAATATTGGACCTTATATTGCGACCAGAGGAAATTCTTGACCTCTATTTTTACCCTTTGGAAATTTGTGCAGTGCCTTTTAGTCTATGTAAAGATGCACACATATTTGTTTAATCCTAATTTCACTCCTCAATAGTTTGAACAAATAACTAGTTTTCTTTGACATTTCTTTTGGTTAATC